GTAGAATGCAAGGCGAGACGGAGGAGAAAAAAAAGGGGGGGTGCTGCCTTGTGAAGGATTGATACTGACATTAGGAAGGAGCAATGAGGTCAGATAATTAACCCAACTTTTTGTAACCCTAATGGAAAAATAAAGCAATACCTTTCCTGACTCCAAGCATCGAAAGCCCCCCATCTCCCTGAGCCCATAAGAGCAGCCACCACACAGACCACAAATGGGAATATTCAATAAATGCCGTCAACTTGACTTCCTTGAAAATCGCTCCCTTCCTCCCCTGTATCAAAGCTTTGAGCCACAGAAAGTCAACCCAAGCCAAGCCCTAAATCTTCAAAACTCTTTGACTTCAGCTTCTTCGAAGGACCGTCGATTACGGGAGACACAGACGCCCACCGCACTTTCAGATCCGTTGGCCTAACAAGGCCATGGCCGAGCGCGGGGAGCTCCACGGCGTTTCCCAAGAACTTACCTCTCGCCTTGTTAAACCTGGAGGAAGCGAGTCACTGGCGTGGGACCGAAGGGGGTGAGATCCTTACATCCAAAGCGTGAACAGGGGACATGGGGAGACCAGTTGGATTTTGGTCCCCCCCTCCTGACCTCCACCCAGTGAGAAATAAAACAGAAACCCCAGTGAGGTCGGAGACTTGCAAAAGGTGATTTTCACCCCCCCTAGTCCCTAGCTGTAGCTTCAGTGCTGGGGGGGGGAGGTTAGGTTGTCTCTGGACCCTCCCTTTGGCTGCCCTCCGCCAGTCAAGTTGCCTTTGCTGACGTGCTGGCTTCTTCTCCCACCGCCTCCCGCTTCCAAAATAGCCTTGGGTGTCATTTATCAGAGAGATTAAATTTCTTGCGGTGCAGGGACCACCCGGAGGGTGCGGGGCAGGACCGATAAAGGCCCTTTTCGGACAGCGTGCCCGCAGACGTCCGCGCAGGCTGGGCCTTTCGATACCGTCTCTCAAGGGTTTATTGATTGATTTATTTGGTATAGCCCATCTGAGTGACAGGTGTCAAACGACAGGAGGATGGGGGAACATGACGGCAAGGTGTTAGCAAAAGTTTACGAGGCTTCTCACTTTTGTTCTGCTTGTGTTTCTCCAGCCAGATTGAAATAAAGGGTTCTTCTGGGCGTCCTCCTGAGGCCGAGATGCATTTTACAGAAGGGCCATGGCCAAAATTAGGAAGTCCTGGACTCACAGCCTCAGGTGTGTGTTCTGTACAACTTAACAAAGGAAACTCATTCGTTCACTGATAAACATTCCCAGACTCTTTACCTTCAGACCTAGAGGTCTTGTCATCCTGGAGCTGGCACTGTGACTGTTCTGGACTACAAATCCCAGAATCCCCCATATCTTTGCAACATGAGCAGGAGACCTGCATCTCGCGTGGACCAATAGAAGGGGACAGAGGGCAAGGTGGGGCTCAGAACCGTTTCTTTTTTTGACTACAACTCCCAGAGCCTTCTAGTCAGCAGGGCCTCTGGCCATGCTGGCTGGGGGATCATGGGACACGTAGTCTAAAACAAAGAAAACAAACATCTCTGGGGCTCTGAAGTTCATCAGCCCATGTCAATCTTTTGCATTTGAACAAGGAACACCTCATGCTGGTTTGCAGTAACTAAAAGATGTCTGAAATAGTGGCCTGAAAGAACGGGGATGGGGGGATGCCAAAGGGCATCTTTGTTAGATGGGAACTCCCAGCATTCATCCCTGCTGACTATCCAGGCTCGGACTGATGGGAGGTGTGGTCCAATAACATCTGGCCAACAGCTGGAGCTCAGTAGTTGGATTCCCCGATGAGCTGGATAGCTCAGTAGTTTGGAGTTCGAAACTCCCCACTGTACAGGGGCTGGAATTGATGACCTACGGGGTCCCTTCCAGCTCTGCAGTTCTAAGACGATTGCTATTAATTTACACCCTTTTACTATTACTATTGCACCCCTTTACGGGAAGGCTTAAACTCTGATTTCTCCTAGTATTGGTACTGATGTTCTAAGACGATTGCTATTAATTTACACCTTTACTATTGCACCCCTTTACGAGAAGGCTTAAACTCTGATTTCTCCTAGTATTGATACTGATGGAATCTTGATATTTTTACTACTGAAAAGCTGGATCGAGGAGATATATCCTGATCACGGGTTCTACCAGTCAGAGCACGAGAGTAGGCTTAAACTCTGATTTCTCCTAGTATTGGTACTGATATTGTTACTACTGAAAAGATGGATCGAGGAGGTATCTCCTGATCACGGTTTCTACCGGTCAGAGCACGAGAACTGCACCCATTCCTGAGCCGTTGCTTAAGGGATCTCATCCTTCGTACATGATCACATTGAAAGTTCCCCCAACGGACTGTCTTTCAGAACCCAGATGGCTGTGCCAGCTGTTGTTTCTTGCATTTATCTTCTTCCCTCCTCACAAGGACCTCACGAAGGCATACTTGGAACTCCTCTCCACTTACCTGCACAACGTCCCTGTAAGGGAGCACGGGATAAGTAAGGAAAGCATAGCTGGCCCAAGATGGCCCAAGGATTCTAGAACCCGGACATCGTTGGGTTCCAGCTCTCTAATCCGAACACAGCACTGGCTCCTGCTGGTGGTACTTAGCTGTTTTCTGTGAGATGAGACAATGACCAAGTTACCATATTTTTTCTGTGTATAAGACGTCCCCCACTTTTCTAATCCAAAATTAAGAAATCTGAGTGGGGCTTAGCAAGTGTAGGGGGAAAGGGATCAAAGTGCTGCAGGATCGCTTTGATCCCTGCTTTCCCCTCCGCTTGTTTATGTTCTCTCAGCTTACTTCCGAGTATAAGACGACCCTCAATTTTTAGTCTAATGATTTTAGACAAAAGTATAGTCTTATACACTGAAATATACGGCATTTGCAGCATTGAGGTTTACTGGTGTTTCTGGTGAGAACTGGAGAAGCATAACAAGGCGACCCTTAGCTCTACTGCCCACGGCTCCTCCTCCAGGTTCCTGCTGTGGAACTGGAAAGAAGAAGTCCCTTCCCTAAGCGTGGGGCCTCATCCAGGAAGGCTCAGAGTGAACGGCGGTGACAGCTGGGCGCCTCCTCATGCTGCCTCTGTAGCCGGTGACTATGGCAAACAAACAGAACAGACAACACCCATTTCTACTCCAATTGTTTCTGCTGGCCTTGAAAGTGGTGCTTCGTGCTGAGAGCGAATACGGAATCGCTCTCAGCAAGAAGCATCCCTTCGGTTTCTGTTCTTTGTCCAAAAACGGATTTCTTTCGAACACGGGAGGGTAGGTACTTCACCCAAGGCTTTTTGTTAAAAAGTGCGTCTTATGGTGCGAAAAATACGGTACTTCACTCAAGGCTTTTTGTTAGTGCAATAACTCGGCTCTTTGCTCAATAGCTCTGAGATAACACCACCGGGTATAGCAGCATGAAGAAGAACGGTAGAAAGCCCAGTGAGAAAGCCAAGGTCAAAGGATCCAGAAAAATGTGCTGGCTATCACTGGAGCTCTCTGGATCTGTACACAGAGCTCAACGGGGGGGTCAGCTCCTGTGACTGACAGCACGGTTGGGGAAGCAGTTTTCCGATTAGGCAAGAACTTCCAACATGTTCTTCAACACCTTCACTTCAGGTCACAGAAGCTGTGCTCCCAAGAGTTCAGTTCCTCATTCCCATGTCACCACTTCAACATTCCTAGTATTAATCACCATCTTTGCAACTCCAGTGCCTTACTCACCTTGAACAGGTCTCGTGTCTCTACATTTTAAATGAAGTGAGGAATGGGGAAAAATTGGAGACCCCCAAGCTTCTGTTGGAGGGCTCTTAATACGAAGGGAAGCAACAGGCAAGGGGAGCGATAAGGATCGGGGAAGCTCAGCGGCCATAGCGAAATGCCTTTAGGGATTTCGTAAAGGCTAAGACGACACGCCAAGTATAATCAGCTTGGCCTGCGATGAGTGTGGGGCTGGCAGCCGAACATTGCAATGCTGCCACCTTCCAGACTTACTGCCTCCAGCATCATAAAATACACAGATCAGATTTCCAAAACCTGGCAATCAAAAGACCTACTCACTAGTTCACGGGTGAACAACCTGACATTTATGTAGCACGGCTGTATTCAAAGTGTGGCTGAATCCTGATGGTTCATGGTTAGAATGGGCCGGCCTGGACAATACAGTTAAAACTTCAGTCCCATTATTTAACTGAGTCTAGTCCATTAATAGCTGGATAGCTCAGGGGTTGAGGCCTCTGGCTGCAGAACCAGAGGTTGGGAGTTTGATCCCCGCACTGTGCCTTTTGGGAGAACAGCCAGCCTGGGTGGCCTTGGGCCAGCGGCACCGTATTCCCAGAACTGCCCCCAGAAGGGAATGGGAAAACCACTTCTGAGGACTCTCTACCTGGAAAACCCTGAAGAGAGTCACCAAAAGTCAGAACTAACTTGACAACACATAGCCATCATCATCACCATTCGAAAACACCAGGCACAGTCAATCAAAATTATAAAAACATTGACTGGTACTATGTAACAGATACAACTTTTCATCAAAAACTGAAGTATCTGTTAAAAATCAAGGTACAGTATATATACTGTTCCTAATATTGCCATTTTTATGGCTCCGATGTTATACTGCAATGATTATCATTCAATTAAGATCACCTCCTTCCCACCCCATTAGTAACTCTTTGATGCATTATCAGAAACATTTGTTGAGATACTGGTTGCCTAACCAAATGGGGTCTATATCCCCATTTCCAATTGAAGCGTTCTGTAGACGTCCCATTGCTTGTTACACGTTATATTCTAAAGAGCTCCATGACGCTGAAGGTTTGCTATATCTTAGTAACAATGCAAAAGCTGTATTGTCTCTTTCGAAAAGATATGGAAATAAATAGCAACAGGCTGGCTTTTCAGCCGACTTCAGGGTGAAAGACATGCCACACATTATACAGGCCGATCCTATGTGAGTTTACTTAGAAGGAAGTACCGACAAGTTCCACTCCTATGTGAGTTTACTTAGAAGGAAGTACTGTACCGACAAGTTCCATTGAATTTCCAGATTTACACGGCATTATAATCTTAATTTCATTTTCATGTTATCCATTTTCTAGAAGAAAATGGTCAGTTACTGCTGAAAGGGAAAAACCTTCAGGGAGTCTGCTGCAGAACACAGCTAAAAACATTTTGGCCTGTTAGGTTTGGCAGACATGGCTAGTTTGTGAAAAGATGGGAGGCTTAGGGAATCTTTGCCATCCTGAACAAACCTGTTACTCAGCCTGTCTCAGCGAATATTGCTTAATATTCCTCTTAAAACATGAAAAGGAAAACAAAAATTCCTTCCCACTTTCATTCCATCAACATCTTCCAAACTGAAAATTTATTTCCTTAATTTTTTTCCAAAATTATGCAACCACAGTCGTTTTAAATATTAAATACTTTAATTAAGTGTTAGCCAGCACACATTAACAGTTATTCAGTAACAATTACAAAAAAACAAAGTCCTAACACACAAAAAGAGCAACTGGTAATTGCCAGAACTGAATACTAGTGATCATCAGACTTTATACCAATTTAGAGAAAGAAAAAGTTACATATAAAAACAATGTTAGAATGTTTCACTCACCATGATTTTTACAGTTAAGTCTTAGTAAATCTGTTTCAAATAATTATAATTGCCTGCAACCTTTCTATTCTTGCATTTTTTTTCTGAATGCAATCTACAACAACACAGCTATGAAGTGACTGCACAACAAGACAAGATCTAGTCTTGGCTAAATGGAATCCTGTCTTATCTAACATAACATGAAAGAGGGCCCCAGCAGGTAGAACGAACTTCATCATCATCAACAACATCTATTAAAGTTACAGTAGAGGTAGGAGTGAACTTTTTGCAGTGTTTCGGATCCACAGTTGTTTCCAGATACAAATGAATCAGCACCTGAATTAACCAGTGATGAAGTCTCACAGGAAATGACATCTTGGTGAGCACATTTCTGTTCAATCTGCTAAAACTGCCTAGTCTGTAATAAGGTTACTGATGACATTAGCAGCGTAGAAATGTTTGCAATGTAACAATAGTGGCCATGATACACAAGATATTCTACTATAAACAACATATTAAAACACACCTTTTGCCTTCACATTGCTTATAATAAAAATAAAAGCACTGTGTTCCCACACACCCCTAGAAATTGCTTCACTGGGTAGAAAACCCTGGGGCTTGATTCCAGACTTAATTACTTTTACTGTAAACTGAGAGTCATAACGAACTTAAGTGTCACTAACAATGTGTTTTTAATGGACCTCCACTAAAGAAATTAACGCAGGGAAAGGCTGAAGGCAGCAGAACAGGAAGACACTCATTCATGGAGTTGCTATTAAGTTGAGGGCAACTTAAGTTAGCGACAAGGCTAATCAAATCTGGAACCAAGCCAATATTTTACCAACTAAACATTTCCGGTGCCCATTATTTACTTTTTCAAGTTCACTTCTATATGCCGTCTCCAATTAGTTTTGCCAGCAAATAGGATTGTGTTGAAAATCATCTAGAAAAGCAGTCACAACAAATTATGCGGCTGGCATTAATTGAGGCTTCCACCCCTCCCTTTCCAGCCCCATCTGGGAGATGGGAAATTTTGAAGAAAAAGAAACAAGGAGGAGGAAGGTTGAGCTCCTCCCTGGTCCACGTGTAGTGGTCCTGATTTTTACAGGAGCTGTGCATAATTCTTTGCAAGTGAAGACAGAGGAGGGAGGGAGGAACCGATAAAGGAAGGAAGGAAGGAAACAGAAAGGTCCTAAACTGCATCCCAGGCATTAGATGAATCGTGTAGTTTAGCCCTTATCCCTTCCATAAACTGAACAAGTGATCATACTTTTTGCATCATAAATTGTGACACTGCTAACAGGGTGAGCACAAATAGGCATGTTAAAAGTGAAACCTGAAACAAATATTGTCTTAAAAAGAAATTTGAGGAAAAAATGAAAACTGATGGAAACTGCCTTTAAAAAATGCTATGAAAGCTTTTTGTAAACGCGTTAAGTACTACTATTCATTTTCATGTAAACATTTGCCAAAAGTTTAAGTGTGCTGGTGACTAAGACCCATAAAACTATGTAGGAAACCATTTGAAACTGGGCCTCTTTATAGGCAAGAAAAATCAAAATACATATACGCACAAGGATGACTTCTCCAAAGCCCGCAAACTTATCTGCTGGTGGTTGACAACTGAATGTTCAGGTTTAAAACAAGTCTCTCAATAGACATTTGCTGGCACAAGACATTCAATGAGAACCACGCTTTTCCAAACGAATAAAGTTGTATTAAAGTCACCAAGAGTATGCAATGAAGTCACCAGTATATCGTTCTTAAGATGACAGCCAAAATCCAAAGAAAGATGGAAAGTAATCCATATGCCTGGGAGGGTTTTGCTCAAAACAGGAACGCCCAACAGTACCGGATGGCAAACCGCAGGTGAAACTTGAGTTCAAAAAATAGTGCATGAAAAAAATACGCAGACAGGCTGCTGTTCCGAGAGAAAGGAAGGCACAAATTCGGCTAGGCAAGTAAGACTAAACACCTCTGTGTATGGGGAACCTTGCAAGGTGGTCTCTGTAGCTTCACAAACCTAGATTGTATTTTAGTAGAGATAAGAGTTAGATCCAAAATCAGTGAATAGAGTGTGACTTTAGGAAAGAGCTGCGTGGGGAATTAAGACAGAGCCATCTCTCCTTTCTCCCTCCCTTTCTTGAAGGACCACATTTGATTCAAGCTATTATGTACCACTGACTTGTGAAAAACAACATCCAGAAGCCCATTCCAAGGCTAAATTCTGCACCGTTCATTGCAGAACCCTGTCTGCAACATTAAGACACAAACCCCTTAATCAAATTCCAACAGGAAACTAAGAACAGATTCAACCCGATTTAGTTTTAGGATCAACCAATTCCCATTCAAATCTCTGCCATTCTTCTCACCAGTCTTCAACATGACAGCTTCCAGTTTTCAGAGATCATAATCTCCACAAGAAGTTGGCGATACACACACAATCACAAACACATTTCTAAAAGCATTTTCAATACGAATATCTAAGTTTGCATATCTATGCTGCATAATTTAACATTATCTGATATTAGAGTCATCATTGGGCAAATCCAGCGAGATCTACCCAAGAGTGGAAGCATCACAGTGTAGTACATTTAGATCAGAAACAATACATGTTCTGATTTAAGCGAAAGGGGAAGCATGGCACTGATTTTGAGAATGAGGATACCTGATCTTCAAGTTACTGTACGCAGCTTAATTTTACCTAGCGGTTAAAAAGCAAATGATTACTGCACCGCTAATAGAAAGTATGGATTTGATTTGGCAACTGGCATCTTGGAATATAAAGCTGGAAATATTTTAGAGCATTCTAAGAATAAAAAAATTCAGGAACTCCAGCAGCTAAACGTGTTTGAGGAGTTAGGAGCAGGAAACTGATAAGGACTTAATTCAAAAGGCATGTGAGTCACCCAGCCTTGTGCACCTAAGGGAACTTGATCAGAACCAACCGTAATATAATCAGTATATTCCTCTATATGAGGAGCTCCTACATCGATTCTGCCTCATTTCTAAATGAAGCCCTGAATGCAAAGTATTTAATATGATCATCAGCCAGAGGTACAAGGTGGTTAACCTCAATACTGCTGGGGAAACACCCTGAACAAAAGAACTTGGGTATAGCCTCCTGCTTCCAGTTCTTCCTCAAGGCTGAATTACAATTAGCATGCATAAAATATAACCTCACTCTTTGGTGGGTACATATACTACCATTTTGTAAAGGGAGCTCAAAATGCAGACAAAAGACACAAAATAAAAACGGACAGGACACTTTTATAATCAACAGAATGATAACAGATATTATTTTAGGTATTATAATGCTAGGAAACCCAGTGCTGGAAACCGATTACGAAACACTCATACTGTAAAACTACCTATGAAATGCAGCTTAGAAATCCCTTTAAATAAATTGTTCAGTTGCCAAAAAAAAGAAAAAGAAAAAAAAGCTGAGCACACAGTTATTTACCTTAAAGACTTTTCAAAGGCACATTACTAAAGCAACCAATCATCATAACCACTGTTTTAAAACACTTCTCACAAATTCAGTGCGCCTATCATTATTACGCTCATGTCCATAAAAAATACAAGTATTTTATAAACAGGAAAGAACAGGTTGCTGAATTATCTTTTCTAACAAAGCACTAGTGATAAAAGTTAAATACAATTAACCGCTCATATATTAAACTGGTTCTAAAACCTATCTGACCTTTAGACCATTAGTGCAAAATGCACAAAATATAAGTTTCCAGCATTCTTAATCTTTTAGGAAAAAACTAAAGCTGAAAATATTATTTATATTTTCCTTAAGAATTCTGGCACTCTGAAGATTGTTTCCTTTGGACTTTAAACCAAGTAAGAAGAATACAAGGAATCTGCAACTTCTTGCTGCAGATACTGAAGTCCTTGCATCTGCTGTAAAAATTTTACACAATCAAGGGATAAGCAAAGGGATGGACTAGGGACACGGTTGCACTGCAATCTCCAGCCAGCCTTACCCAGCATAATTGCAGGTGAGGAATACCGGGAGCTGACACCCAGCAGTGTCTTTGCTGAATATTGCCTCCCCATCCCTGTTGTCTCAAATCTGTGGTTCCCATCCTTGGCTCTCCAGGGGTTTCTGGACTACAGCTCCCAGAATCCTCCCCAGCACAGCTAGTGGGGAAGGAGTCTGGGAGCGGCAGTCTAAGAACATCTGGGGACACAAGGATGAGAACCATGGGTCTAAATGACCACAAGCTCAAAACTGAACACAGTGGGGGAAATGTTAACGACCCAATTGTGCTTCTCAGAGCGATATCTGACGTGTTAGATGAAAGAAATCTGTTCTTTGAAGTATTCCTCGCTTTTTCAACAAGGATCTTAGGAGCGTGAGAACTGCTCTTCAGAATTCTCCTCTAACATATAAGATACAAGCACATGATTGGGTGATCAGTACACGCAGGCTATCCCACATTTTACAAGATTGTGAAAAAGTTAATACTCAGAAATGATAAGAATCCACCTACCAAAGCCCCAATCCAGATTTTCTTTAACACACAGGAATTATGCACATGTGCACAGATACACACAAAGGTCCCTCCCTTCACTACAATGTGACAGCCTTCTGTACACAAACATACGGCCCCATCACCATTTGCATGGGGCTGTACACAGCATTCTTGTGAAAGGGGAAACCTGTACTTGGAGCGACCGAAATCAAAGGGCACTAGTAAAACTTTGGAGAGGGAAACCATCTGTTATAGTTATCTTATACATTCATGTTGGCATGTGATGAATCTGATTGTCCATGACACAGCATGAAGCCCAATAATAGTGATTCAACATACAAAATTTCCTCGTGCTAAAAATAAACCAGTCAGCTTTGGTAACCTAGTATCAAGTAAGTCTACAGAACTATTTGTACAAACATCCCATCTCTACAAACATAATACCTTGTGCATATTTATAGTTTATAGATACACGTAACAGACCCTGAGCATACATTAAGCCTGATTAATAGGTCTGGTGAGGGATCAAAGTGTATAGTGAAGTCAGACAAATGATATATTAATTCTTAAAATAAATATCAACAGCTATAGTTTTCATTAAGTGCATACCAAGTTAAATAATCATTTAAGCCACTAAGGTATCAAAGTACTGTATTCCTTTCCTAATGTCAAAGTATTTAATTCCACTAACTAACACGCACCATAATTGAATATTTAATACATGGTATTTAAAACTTTCCTTCTTTTTCCAAAACCTACAGAATCTGTTGGACCACCATACCTAGTGATGGTGAGGTCTGGATTAGTTCAGCCTGAAACGCACGCTGGCAAAAACAGCTTCACAATTTTAGCAGAACTAATGTTAACTGCTGGTTGCTTAAACCAGATCATCCGCATTTTTTCTCGGCTCCTAACAATACCACAACATACAGGTACATTATTCCAAAACAGCAACGACGATAACGGTATTCAGTTATCACTTTGGCACTTAAAATATTAATATTACAAGATGAAGGATCAATAAATGCTTAAGTGGTATTGTGAAATACACTAAACTGTAAAAATATGAGAGTCAGCTAAGCCGTTTGCTAGTTTCCTAGTTCATGGCTTGAGTCACAGCTTTGGATCAGGGATCAAGAAGAAGAATGACTATTGCTTGCCTACATTTATTTTGATCATTTCTCTTTTAAACTGCAGATACACGCCATCCATACTAAGATTGCTGCAAGATTACAAGAGAAACACACCCATCTAGATTTGAACAATGGCACTGGACGCTCAGTATACACCAGCTAGATTTCAACAACAGCCAGGTCGGCTTTTCACTCCGCTGCAAGATTTGCTGGACGGTGCTCATTTGATGACTGGTTGGGGTTCATTGGGATTCTCCCTCTGGTTTTCTTTGTCTTCCTGCTCTGCAAGGATCTTCACTCGGAAGCTGCAGTCTACCGGGCAGAGCCCCTGCAACGCCTTTTCCACTTCCTCCTTTTTCACCAGGGCGCCTGCTGACGTTTTCGGCAGCGTCATCTGAAAAGCGCACCACAAAGCTGTACGGGTTTTCCGCGTGAAGAAGGCCAGATCTTTAATGGCAGCTGCAAGAGCTAGGACATCTATAACAAAACCAGATTTCAGTTATATACAGATCAACAGGAAGCACTGAACAAGGGAGGGTTTGACAAAAGAGTCTCACGCAAAGAGGGCAGCTTTTAGCATCACAACACACATATACTTAACCGCAATTCCTCTTACAATGCTTCTCATACACTATCCAGGGTTCATATGTGACAATGTTCTGACGTTCTTTTTTCCTCAGCTTATTTCCCCCAGCAAATCTTCTTAAGATTCTGTATTTTAACTGTTTCCAACCCCAGCTTTCCCAGACAAGCCCTATTCAGTTACTTTCAAACCACCCTGACCCTTGCTCCTCTCCATTTCTTGTATTGCTGCTCATCGATACATAGAAGGCAGTAATGGGCTGGATGAGGGAGAGTCTCCAATATCTTATATAAATGTGTTATTCTACTTGTTAATTTTATCTTCAGGTGACCTTTGAAGGACTGCTGCAAGAACTAAACTGCCATATGTCTAAGGCCAACTTTAGTTCTTAAAAAAACCAGCCGTTGCTTTCATCCTTCTCAAGATCGGTTTTAAAAAAATGATTATAATGCTACCAATTAAGCACTGACTTGATTTTAAAAAATGGCTCTCTATTTAATAGGCAGTGCAAGGTTTAACCATTATTTTTAAGTACTGACAAAAAAACACAGACACTAGACAGTGCCCTCAGTTTGGGACAGAGAGAGGAACGGTCTCCTGTGAGATGATTATGCTCTTGCCACCGGTGCATCATCACAAACAAACAGTAGGCTTCTGACGTAAGAACTTACTCACAGGGAACTCTATGCAGATTTCATTAATCCATATGTTAATAATATTTTGTTTTTAAGGAAGCCATAATTAATATCTGTAAGTTTTGCCATAATCAAACAAAAGCCACTTGCCTTTTTCCTTATTGTAACGAGACATCCCTAGCCGCTGAGGATTAACAGCATTAATGATCTCTTCCTTGCGTTTTGCTTGAGTAGCACAGATGGCTTCCAAATGACGTCCCAAAGTGGCAGATATGTTTCTATGGACAGGAATCTCACAGAGGTGCTGCATTTTCCCAACTAAGCTGTGTACCTATAAAGGACAAGAGTGTTTCAGTGGATGTTTTTATCTTGGGAGGGAGGGGGAAACCCAGTTAGCCATTCCAAGTTTTTGGTTGCTGTTTTTTTAAATAAGAACTCCAACAGAGCAGTGTAGCTCTGACTCCCAGTTTGTTTCCACACTGAAGGCTTGAGGTTCTGCATTTCTCTTTATCTGGTTTCGCAGTCCTCCAGAGTCCTCCTAAGGTAAGGCTTACACCCCCTTCTGAACACTGTCATGATTGTTATCTGGCATGCTTCCCCTAGGAGGCTGCTTTACAACTAAGAATAGGCATTTTGAGCTCCCGCCAAGATGGTTGTAGGACACAAAGCATTCACGGCAGTCCTTGGGTGACTGAGAATATAAGGAGATGGGCGAATTTGAAGGCAACCAAACACACACGTCATGTGGATAGAAAAAGTACCTGATTACAGCCCACCTTCCCTTCCAGACTGCCAACCTGTCCCAAAAGGCACATAACAATTCAATGACACACACACATACCCCGCAAAGACAACTCTTTTAGAACGCCTGGTCTCTCCACAGCATCATCTCTATCTGGCCCTGACCACCAACTGCAGGCACTGGTTTAACTGGTGCTAAGGCAAACCATTTAAAGGCAGGGTATGAGAAAGAACCCAAGCTACCTGCAAGTAGCTTTCATAACACTGGATAGCCTGTGTTCATGGCTCATGAGGAGACGTTGCCTGAAATCATCCAAGCTATTCCCCATTAGCAGCTGCTTCTGACTCTGAACAACCAACAACAACAACAACAACAAAAAATCAAAGAGATCACTTGGAGTGGATATTGGTTATTCCAAACAAAGCAAAATACGACCTTTCATAGCTCGAAGAGTTCATACACCCCCTCCGCACGTATGGGACAAAAGCAAAGTGTGTCGCTTACATACCATCCCATAGTGCTTGAAGCACTCTCTGGGCGGTTCACAGCTTATAGTTGATACACACTACCCATCCCCGAGCAAGCTGGGTACTCAATTTACTGACCTCGGAAGGACGGAAAGCTGAGTCAACCATGAGCTGCCTACCAGAGCCCTCTCAGGATCGAACCCAGGTTGTGAGCAGAGGCTTGACTGCAGTACTGCAGTTGAACCACTGTGCCTCGAGATTTCAAAGCTCTGACCAGAGGTTATGTGCCCTGCTGTTCTGGTCAGGGAATAGGATTTGGAAGGAGTCACCAGTTCACACAATAGCCTTATTCACATTTCTTTCACGGGCAAAGCTAGTCTTGCAGTATCGACTAACGTCGCTCTCAGCACTTTCATTTCCTATCTGCTCCTGTCAAACTACGGTCAAGCTATTTAAAAACAAAAACAAAAAACAGGCCAGCACAACTTTCCCACCGATATGAAGTGAAAGCCCCAGTGACACATCCTCTTTCAGGGTGCTTACTCTTGCCTGCTCTCGGAACTGGTCCACAATCAGACGATCCACGCGGGAAGGCTTGGCAGGAAGCCGGGAAAAGGGAGCATTACTGGAGATGGACACCTGCTTCCCTGGAAAACTTCTTGCTAGATCTGCCTCTGTCTGAAGGGAAAACAGCAGAAGCAGTTACCAGAATATGTTCTGTTTGTTTATTTAAAATATTTTTACCTTGCCTTTCTCCTTTAAAAAGGCAGCTTACATCATTAAAAGACAATGTTAAAGCTAACAACAATAAGTATACAAATACTAAAAAGGAACCAAACAAATGCCATACAAAAACAAAAGGAACACCAAAACAAACATTCAGAGCAGTAAGGCCCAACCATCCATTCACACACCCCACTCAGGCGGCCAGTCACTCACTCAGAGAAAGCCTACTGCAACAGTGGGCAAGCGCTGAGGGTTCAGGGACTAATGTTATGGCATCCAGAAGCCTCTGCAAGCTGCCTCATCAACCGCCCCTCCAGAAATAAACTGGAAATGGCCAGAGCTCTAGGTCCAGCTTCATAAAATCCTTGATGGAGAATTTTGGACTGGAACAAGGCAGAGAGAAGGTGTACCTTGTTGTAAATAAAACGGGTGTTCCCGAAGGCCTCCAGAAATACTAAGAGCCAAAGTGGACCACAGGACAAAATAGGATTCAGGAGATCAAAGTTCAAACTTTATCTCCTCCATGGAAATCCACTGGGGCAAAGAAACTGTAAGACCAATCTTTAAATATCTCACGTATTTTGAAAATCTTATTAGGATGACAGTGACTTGATGGCATGTTAACAACTCTCACTTTTCTGGCCCAAAAATACATGTTGGGATTTATGTACCTGAAACAGGTGGCAGTGACAGTTAGAAACCTGTGTCTGGATTTCTCTTGCCTGATTCATTGCCTTTCCCCTCTACCTGTATTTTAAATACACGTACTGTACCGCGGTAAGACATCCCACAAAACTATTTTACATTATGCGGTGTTTTTTGTTCATTGTTATGTGCCATCAAGTGACCTTCAACTCATGGCCACCCTATGAACGAGTGACCTCCAGATCTTCCTGTTATCAACAGCCCTGCTCAACGAAACTCAAGGCTGTGGTTTCCTTGACCTCCAGATCTTCCTGTTATCAACAGCCCAGGCTCAACAAAACTCAAGGCTGTGGTTTCCTTGGTAGAGCCATAGACAGGAGGCCAGCAATAAAAAGCAAAAAGGGTTCCAGCCTCTTCCACCAAAAGATCAGCAAGGCAAAAAACAAGTAACCTGTGAATGCATGATGGATTTGAAATATTCTCTACCACCTAAATAAGCAATTTCAGTCTTGCTTCTTGCTTCTAGAAAATTAGGGACCTCAAAAACAAAGAGATGCAGGCCTGATATGGTCTAAATGACTTAAATTCCCTATTTTCGCACAACAGATAGAAATGGACTTAAAAGACAGGCAGCGATGTATCACCTAGCCTGCTTTTAGCCAGGACTGTCCCATGATTTCATAGGAGAAGCCACATGGAATCTAATATGCTACACACATTTCCAAGAAATAAAAGTTCCCTTTTTCCAGGGAGGTAGATAAATGGAACATAAGCAAACAAGAGGTCTTCAAAACTCTCTTCGGACTCATTGACATCTATCTATATGGTTACTTTTTCCTTCTAGCAGGTTCTTTACTCAGAACTCATCTCTCACAAGACTGCTTCCTTCATTCTAGAGATCTTTAAGTGTGAAATAAGATAAATATCCTATGAAAATACAAACAAATCTGCAATGTGATTAATCTCATTTACCCTGGATGTAGAACTTAGCCATTCTTGATTAAATTATGAAGAATCATAAGCTGCATTTGAAGTGTTTGAAAATGTCCTCTCCCCTCAAAAAAAAAAGTTAAAAACCTAGACCAAGATCCTAACTTCTCATAAAATTCTGATATTATGCCCGCTTCACTGGCCGCCAGCCTGGTTCCAAGCCTAATTCAAACTGCTGCCGATAGATTTTATGCAAACAGTCAGGGACCAGGATACGAAACAGGCAGCCTCACCCTGACTTGCTCCAGTCTTTGACAGAGGCCTGGCTTTATCTCCTACTACAGAAACACAGCAGACTGAGCAAACATAAGGGAAGCTTGCTGACTGCAGGAAGGCTACAGGAACCACTCTATGAAAACCTCTCCTGAGTTCATCCCAGCTGTCATCCAACATGCACGCAATATTTACTCCAACATCCTTTCCTCATTGGTGATTAAAAGGTTTTTTTTATTTCCAACTTGTTATGATACACCCACGCCTATCAAGAACCTGCTATTTTGCATGGCCTAAGATATATTTGAACAGAGCTGAAACACCAGAGTCGAATACTTAAAGGCTTCCTATTCTTCCCTGGGGCACCATTTGGAGAAGGTGTATATGGAACTCCTCCTGTACAGAATTTCTCTTGTCCATGTTACCAATAGCTCCAGCTACGTTTCAGCTGACAGTGGATTATGTTACTGACCTTTTTCCGTTCTCTTTCTAGTGCTCTCCACTGCTCATAACATTCTTCCAGATGAATATGAAGCTCATTGGCCGGTCCATTACGACTCCTTGGAGGCCGATACTGGCTAGGGGGCGGTGGAAAGGCCAAGCACGGAGAAGTAGTCTCTCCACAGAAGAGGTCATTCAGGAAAGGACTTAAATGGGGCAAGTCGTCATAAGGAAGGAGATCAGCAAGTTCAGCCCATGGAAACGGCAAAAGAGAAAACGCAACATTGGCGGGTGATGAAAACAGGTGAGGATTCAATGGAGGGAAACTGGGCATGGGTTTATAACCAGACACTAATGGGAACAGAGGAAGGAAAGAAGGATTGATGAAATCAGTTAAGGCAGCACCATTTGGTTCTGGTTTTCTTCCCCATATTTCAAGCTGTGGCTGATCCGGGCCTACATATCTTGTGTGTGGAATTGAATGATTCCTCTGTCTTCCTTCGTATTGCCCTCTTCTCTCATCGGTATTATATCGGTTTTGCTTATTATTAAATCTGTGGTGCTTTGCAGACTCGTTTCTCAGCGAGTGCTGCTGTGATAAACAACTGGAAGAAGCATTAACAGATACTTTACCACAGTATCCCTCTGAAGCAGCTAAAGAATGAGTCTGGGAGTGTCCGACAGGGTTACGTGGTTGTTTCTGATTTTCTCTAGAACTAGAATATCCTGAAATACTGGGAATGTTACCAAATAACTGTTGTTTGCCATCATTTCTCAAGGACGGCCCTGATGGCTTCTGTGAATAGGATAGCTGGCCTGGGGGCCGTTTAGTGGAAGGTCCACCTGACTGAATGGAAGACATTTCCTTTTGCTTCCCATAGGTTGCACAGGACACAGCACTTGGATTTGGTCTTTTTGTCTCCAGCCACGTATATCCATTGTAAGATGACTTCATGTTTCGCGCAGTTGGTTTTAGAGCCGAATGACTACAGGGAGCTTTCTGAGGCTGTAGGGGGCCCTTATGTTCACCACTGTGAAAGGTCACTGACATTCGGATGTTATGGTGGCTGTTTTGTGGGTAGTTTTCCTGAAATTCTGTTTCCACTGCTTCAGGAAAGCTATTTTCTGTATTAAGTGCTGAACTAAGAAAATGTTCAGACAAGTAGCTAAATTCCTGACGCTCATGAGTAGTTGTAAAACCCGTATACTGTTCAGGACACAAATTATTTTCCTGGATGACTGGGTCCCATATTCCACCTATAGGAGAATTTGACAGCTGGATGAAATTGTTGCTTGAGCCTTCTGTGTCATTTCTCATCATCATCTCTCTTCCTCTGCCAGATTTCTGGCATTCCTTATTGGTACTATCTTTTATTTTATTATGAGACGAAGGTGTGCTCCCATGGCTATTCTTGTTGTAATTTTGCACGCGTACAAAGTTGCCTTGATTGGTTCCAATACTCTTAAGAGCCTTGTTCTGTGGATCAGCGTTCTTCAGGATGTCCTCAGGTGACTGGATACAAACACTCCCAGGCAACTCCCAGGATCCTATGACATGGAGGTCGTTGAGTTCGTTCTTTAACAATTCCACAGAGGATGCCTTTTGCCAGTTTTCTTCGTAAGATTGCTGGACATCAACTAAGTTGGTAAGGTCATCATTTCCCAAAATCTTCATAGGAAAAAGACCCGAGAGGCTGCTGTTGTTTTCAAAGTCTGATGACCACACTGGTGGGAATAATCTTGATAAAGAATTCCTAAGACAAAAAATAATGTTGCAGAGTTAACAAAGCATGTGATTTTGCATCAAATCACTGGTACAGCTCACAGCATATTATTTATTTCACAGGCAACAATATTTTTCCTGCCATTATTCCACTTTTTTCAAAAAACCAAAATGCCAGAGATTAAATCTGGAATTGTTACCTGATTTATGTTTAATGTAGGTTTAAAAAGACATCTTTTATCTTCAGTGCATCAACAAGATGCATGGGCTGGCTAAAAAAGATGCTATCCTATTAGTTTCTTTGTAGAAAGAGAGCACAATAGCTTGGAATACAGTGAAAGGGATGTCAGCTTCACATGCTAGGTGCTTATGCTAATGCTAGATTCTGATACTGGATAGGACAACAGAAAAAACTGAGCTTAAAATAAAGAACAAGGAGATGTAAATTAAGTGGGTGAATATGATAAACAAAGGCTTAACTAAGACGTGATAGCATAGGTGGCTGTGCAGTCTCTTTTGAAACAGCACATCATGAATGCTGCATCAGAACAAGTGGGTGAATATGATAAACAAAGGCTTAGCTGTGATAGCATAGATGGCTGTGTAGTCTCTTTTGAAATGGCACATCATGAATGCTGCATCAGAATATCCAGCCCTGACACTCAGATGTCTCTTTAGCATGTTCACATTCTACAGAGATTTCCTATATATGTGCCTTCTCTTGCATGTCAGGTGTGCCGTTCTTCCTCTGTTAATATATCCTTCAGTCTTGAGAGACTATGGTAACATGCTCTGAATAGAGGTCTTCGAACTGCGTCTAGTGTGGCTGAGGAGGCCAATTCGAGAGGGATCATCCCTTCCACACTGAAGACAAACACAATCTGTCCCCTTGTCCAGCTCCCTGATTTTGCTGCTTTCATGACTGCCTCTTTGCCTCGGCCTGCTGGACAAGGGTCTCTGCAAATTGTAGTTTTAGATACTGTACATCCCAAGCTGTCCAACTTCAAGAAAAGACTGACATAACAAAAGCAGCTTTGATCTGCTGGACAAGGGTCTCTTCAAATTGTAATTTTAGATACATCCCAAGCTGTCCAACTTTAACAAAAGGCTGACATAACAAAAGCAGCTTTGACGGAGTGGTATGTTTAAAATGTATACATGTTTGTGTGTCACAGCTCCATGTTGTGATTGGGTTTAACAAGCCAGGCTGGGGGAAACGCTACCAGAAGCTTTTCCAAGAGAGGATATTTGGGTATCCCGAGAGGACAGCGACATCGCTCAACTATCCATGAAAATATGTTAGAAGCAGCTTAGGTGCAAGATGCTGGTTAAAATCAGAAGGAGTGGTTGTGAGGCCATGGGCAAGATTCAGGGAGAGGTCAATAAGCTGTGAAGATCAATGGCACAGTAGAATCAGACAGACTACAAGCTGGCTATCCAGTTTTGAGAAAGCTGATGGAACTAAAATCTCTTAACTATTATAGAAGACAGTTAAAGCATCATCAATATTGGTTTACAGGATCTTAAAGGCGTGAGTAGATATTTAGAAGATTTATCTTAATGGCTTATTAACAAACAGGTATATATACATTTAATTTAACCCTGAGCAGACCTTTAATATATGTGTTCCATGCTTAAGGTCACCTACCAGAGGACATAGGATGGTAGGGGACTCTGAGAAAGGTATGGAGTCCATGTTTTGCATGAGTACCTTTATGGAATATTTCTTATTTGAGTTACACTCATTTTTAAAAGCTAGCCAACACTGTCAAATGCTATGGAAATTATATTTACAAGAAATTTAGATTGATAAGCCACTGTGAGCTCAGATAAATATTTTATATAACTATGCATAGGCTCCAGCTGTTAATGGAGATAAAGGAGGCTGTTCCAGTGAAGCTTACAATGTTCCCTTAAAATAACTATTTACATAAATTGTTATCAACTTACCAGTCTGTAGCAGCTTCTTGCTTCTCTGGCTCCTCTAAGATGTTTGTCACTAAACCAAACATATCGGGGCCGTTGCCAGAATAGGACAGATTGACCTGTGCCCTAAAAAGAGAAACAAACAAAAAGGATTGAAATGAAAATCCCAATCAATAAAGCATTTTGAAAGGTTTCTTTTCACTCATTATTATGTTGTTTACCAGTTTTCAAGCCACTTGACATTTTGTAATACAGTGTGTGAAAAACCTAAAACAAAAAGGATTTAGGGAGACAAGGAACAATATTCATTCAAATTGTTAAAGCTAGATAAGCATTGTGATTTGCCCCTTCGCTATCCACAAGCCACCACGATCCGCCCACCCACCCACCAAAACAAACTGGTTCAGTTTGCTTTTGGGGGGGTGGTTTGTGCTAGGGGGGATTGGGAACCCGCCACTTGCCTGTCCCCATCGCCTCCCTACCTTATCTTGAAGCTGCCACTGCTGCCATCCTGAGGGGCAGCAGGCCCAGCTCCTTGTAAGAAGCCAAGTCTGATGCCTCCGTTGCCACCTATCAGCTGAGTGGTGTGCGCACAGGCAGCAGGAACAGTCTCCGTGTGAGGACCCGGGCCTGCTGCCTTTCAGGACGGCAGTGGCAACTTCAAAAAAAGGGAGGGAGGCGATGGGTGCAGGGGTGGGCAAGCCATTTTGCCAAAGCAAAGCCAGTCACCAAAGAGAAGGAGGGAAAACTCTGGTGCTTTGTTTCAGCGAAAAAGGATCCCTGAAAGAAAAAAAAAACTACGAACCAGCCCAGTTCATGTTTTTATCTGGTTCATGGTTCAGTTCGCGCCCATCTCTAATCACTACAAATGACCGGTTCTATACGTGGAAAAAGATTTCAGGAAAGCACCACAAGGTGGCACTCGCCTCCTACCTTTTTTGTGTACAGTCATGTAATGCAGCAACAGTATTGGCATCATCTCCACAGGCTGACCAGCCAGTATAGAACTGGGAAGAGTCCACAGAGGATGGTGTATTGGTGATTCCTCCAAATATTGGGGAGAAAAACTGGGTATCCATGTTAGGGCTATTTACCTATAAATTTAAAATGGCAGCAGCTTTAAAAATAAACATTTTTTACAGGTATCAAACATATTATTTTAAGAAGACAGCATATAAGGAATCTAGTCTTCCATCCTTTCAAGGTCGATAAAATGAGTACCCAGCTTGCTGGAAAGGCAATGTGTAGCCTGCATAATTATCCTGTAAACCGACCAGAGAGTGTTTTAAGTGCAATGGGGCAGCTTATAAGCAGCATGCTTTGCTTTTTTGCTTTTTAAAGAGATTTCTTAAAAGACAGCTACAAACAAGTCACAGAATTGTAAAGATAATGGACAGTCCACATCTTTAAAAGTTATCCAGACTTATGAAGTCACCTCAGCATGCATACACACACACACACACACAGAGAGAGAGAGAGAGAGAAAGAGAGAGAGAGAGAGAGAGAGAGAGAGAGAGAGAGAGATTATTTGGGGAGGAGGGTCGCCTTGTTCCACTTGCAAGCTGATAGGCATTCAGCTACCAGAGTCTGCTATGTAGTATGATTTCTAAGCAAAGTGAATATTATGGCTCACCTGTGGCTTACAACAACTGAATGTGGTGCTTTGTTTAACCATGTCCCCACTTTCAATGTGGAAACCGTTGTTTCCAAGTTGAGTAACATTTTCAAACCAGCAGAGATTGGACGTCTTAACCTGTTCCACCTATTTAAAGACAATTCCGCATTAGAATAAATGAAAAAAACGTTTAATAAAACTATGCCTGGCTATAAATGAAATAGCACGGTGCATTTTACATGAGCTGGAAAAATTATATGTAATACACATAGTACTGGCCTCATCTTGCACAGCTCAGCAGCTTCCATACTAGCCAGGATAAAAGTACATACTTGTTGCTAAATATACTTCTTGTCAAATACTGCTGCTTAAATTTGCAGACTGGCAGATTAAATGGAAAATTTGATAACACCCAGCTAAATGTTTCCTGTCCCAAGCATAGTGTTTCATTTTAAAAACACACAAAGTGCAGCTACACAGACCACAAACTGAAGCAACTGATCAATTCGTATACAGTATGACAGGTGTTCTTATCTTTTGCCTTTCACCTTTCTTTGTCTAAATATACAAAGACCGAGCTCTATTTGACGTACAAAGAAAACAATACAAGTACAGTATTTGGCTTTCCATAAAGAGGAACGTAATACCTCTGCCGCGGCACCAAAAAGATAAGAATCACAATTATTCTGTTGCAAAGTAACTTGCTTTAAAACAAACCAACAAACCAAAAACTTCTGATTTCAAGCTTTGCACTTGCTTCTATCCACTGTTTCCCTTGGAGCTCCAATCCTTATTCTGCTTATATAAAGGTCATACAGCATATGTGTAGACATAGTGGCAAAGTCTGCCTCCAGTAACTGCCTAATATAAACATATACATCCTTGTTGACATTCCTATATAAAACCTGAGCCGGCAATTTGCAGGTTTCAGCTGCACCAGGTTCCATCTCTGTCTACGCTCCCATTCATCCCACACAGACTGCGGATGGTACCACAGCTGAGATCCATGACTCCCTTATTATTCTGGTCGCACAAGGACAGTAATATTAATTTAAAAAAACTAAAGGCAACATCTGAATACGTCCTGAGGCTCTAATTTCATCCATTTCTTGAAACAGGCATTTTTCATAAGGTTGCAAAGGCCTCCTTTCAGAATTAAGAGTGATCATAAAACCAAATTCACTCCATGAAGGTTCACTCTTCCTTCTCCTACCATGTTTTTTTCTGTCAACCTCACACATTTCTCTGTCTGACAATTCTGCAATATTTTCCTAACTTCCTCAGCCAATTTGGGCTTTTTCGATGCCTTCAGATTACTTCTCCACCTGGTGTCTAGAGAGCTTACTCCATTCCTTCTCTTCACCTATCGCATCTCTTGAGTTCTCAACATGCTGCTTTTCAGTTCCAGACTCAACAACTGCAGGCTTATTCCCAAAGGAACCAGCTTTTGCAGTTGGGAAGAAAAGCAGCACCATGTGACTCGAAAAACATGATTGGTACGATCTCTTGAGTTCTCAACATGCTGCTTTTCGGTTCCAGACTCAACAACCGAAGGCTTATTCCCAAAGGAACCATCTTTTGCAGTTGGGAAGCAGCACCACGTGACTCGAAAAACATGATTGATACAGTATGTAAAATTAACATAATGCTCATTCAAAATTTTGTTTCTTCTTATAATTCCTCTCCCAATGGAGGCTAAGCAACATCTGGCTACACAAACTTTGAATGCAGCAGCTCTGAACAACCATGCTGTGTTGCATCCAAAACAGTCCTAAGGGTTTTTCAGGTTAAGGTCTTCTCTCTCTCTCTCTCTCTCTCTCTCTCTCTCTCTCTCTCTCTCTCTCTGTGAATTCTTTTCCCATGAATGATCGGCTGTAACAATCTGCAGTTTTCATTATTTATCCAATGACTGGAACATTCTAGCTTTTTTGGTTGTATGTGTTTTATGATTTCTTGGTCATTATTCATGTCTTCGTTGGTGACCTTCTTGATCCAAGATATTCTCAGTATTTTGCAATAAATCCCTATTGCAAGTACTTCTCTCTTTTGCATAGCGTCTGTGTTACAACCGCATAATTCAACGACATGCAGTAGAATCAAAAATTATACAGCACATAGTGACAATATAAAATATCATTTTGTTTAGCAAAGTTAAATTAAACATGATCCAAACTAAATGAAATTAAATATATTACACTAGATGCAAACCTAGTTAGGATACAGAAAAACTGGGGGGAGGGGGCAGGAGGATGAATCAAATTTGTCCACAGACGTGACAATTCCTGCAGGGCCCTATTCTGGCATATCTGGTTAACATACCGTATTCCTCAACATCTTACCTTTTTTTACTCTGACATTTAGAGTAACACTCCCCCGCTCAACATTTAGAGGAAAACGTTTAAGGTACAAAAATCTCCGAACCATACAGCAAGTTCTTCAGCTCTGAATGCAATTCAGCGGAAGTCCTGTTGTGTCACTCTGCACCTTCTCTCCCTGAATCTGGGATGGGGGTGGCTCTGCCTCAATTCAAAACTCTTTCTTAAAAACCTGCAGAGAAGTGACACTACCTGCTTCTTTACAGCAGCCTCTACTCTCTTTGACTGTTAAGTCTTGCCCAGCTGCCCTGAAAGCTGCTGCTATGAGACACAGAAGCTGTTGCCAGAAGCTGTTGCACACAGAAGCTGTTGCCAGGCCATTGAAGTGTCGCTTTTCAATGAAGCAGGACAAACAAATCAGCCAGGAGAAGGACGGGGCTGGGTCCGCACAAATGCTAATTCAGGAGACTCCCAACATTATCCAACAGTCACACAGCTTCCATGACCACCGTCTTTAAACTCTACAAAACCCATTGAAAGCCTGAGGTTTCAAACGACAGTGTTATTCTCAAATCACACAATTCTTAATTAAACAGATCAATACAAATGATAAACCCTTCCCCAAGATTTCAACCGGCTAAAGCGCCTGCCTTAGTTTTGCTAGAATGAAAAACGCCAAGCTTACGTTTTTGGCCTGCTTCCTTTAGTTAACCTCAGCCATGACTGATGTCACTGGAATACCAGTATGTAAAAGTATTATGGGAATTGTAGTCTTCAAACTAGTGTGGAATAGCAATGAAGTGCAGGGCTCAGAAACGAAAGCAGCTTCAAAAGCGCTTTGCAATGGAGGATCTACTAGCCTTAGGCATCTGCTAGGAAATGATATGGGCCTGCTTTTCTTTTCTACACTACAAGTATAGCACCTATACTGTTTAAACATAGTTTATCTTTGAAAAGAGCTCTCTCTTGCTTTCAAGCCATTGTTGTTTACAAAAGAGACATCCAAGATATAAGGATTTGTTTGAGAACAACTTTTAGTAAAGACCTGATAAGCTGATGCACAGCTATAATTACTCAACTCCCAAACAAACTGCAGCAGAGCACAGAGTGCTACTCCTGTCCTCTGAAGATGCCGGCCACAGAAACTGGCGAAACATTAGGAAGAACAACCAAAACCCGACGGCCTAAGAGCCCAAAAAAAACATGACAACCAAAAGACCTGATAACTTTGACGGATAATTTCTCAACCTAAGGATTAGGCACAGACCTCTTCTGCTTCCAGAAAATCACCTTCTGCCATCTAATCTGCTGTTGACTGAGATCCGCGGGCACAAGAGCCAAAAAGGGGGTGAAACTGATGCCCTGTTGCACCAGACCTGAGCCTCTTCCAGCCAAAGCATGCAGCCACAAAGCCAAAGAAAAGTTAGGCTGGCATGAGGGCCACCTTAATTAATTTCCAGCATCCCTAGTATAAGAGGGCTTTACATTCTTGCACACAAGTTCAGACAGCCCTTTGCCATCTTGACGGTGATGATGGCTTTCTAGATATACAGAACATCACTGTTATTCCATCTTCACATTAACAAATGGCAGATTTAGCCTTCTTTATCCTACTTGGGTCAATAGTTGCTTTCATTTAGTGTTTCTTGATTAACAAGACAATTTTAATGAAAGCAGCTCACTTATTTTCCGTAATGGATGTGCTCAATAAAATTATTGCACTATTTTCAGATTTGCCTCATGCCCTCACAAGTAAAAGAAAAAGATAAACAGTGACCACCCAGAGTGTCAGGAAGGTTACACTAAAGTTAACAATCCGCTTAATGAATGTTGGAAGAATCGGGCTGGTTTAAGCTTAAATTGAAATGAGTCAATAATCTGAAACCTCAAGTAGAATTTAGTCCAATTTTTCAGACTTAGATTTTACTTATTGCTTCTCTACCGCCAACAGCTTCTGTTTAAAGACATTCAGCATTAGGCTTTTCATGTAATAGGCGAGGTCCATCAGAGAAAGACACATTCCTTCATCTCTGAGAAAGGGGTGCAAGCTTGTCGTACATAATCCCTTTTCATCATGGAAAAAAGTAAACCAATCTTCTTGCCTAGCAGAACAAAAGATGTGAGGGTCAGGATGCAAAGACCACCGCATTTCTGGATCTGAAAGATGGAGTAAAGTCGATTCTATTCTTTGTTGGGGGGAAAGCAAGAAAGGGATGGGTCAGCCTCCTTTCAATCTTCTCAGAAAAGAAGCAGAAAAGTGTATCAGACAAAATCCAAAGGTTTGGGAAAAAAACATGGCGGGGGAAAGGAGACAAAAAATATGGCCTCTTAAAGACTATTATGGTATATTTTAATGTGAGCTTTTGTGGCTTACGTCCACTTCTTCAGACATATGAAATAAAATGAACCACAGAATGAAACACCAAATTCATAAGTAAAACTGTCATAGCCTTTAAGAGTCTTGGGTGTGCAATAATTTATGGCCTATGTTTGGTGTTAGGTTTTAAAACAAATAAGTTCAAGACAATGAACATTTTGAATGTTTTACTTGTGAATTCCTCGTTTCATTCTGTGTTTCATTTTATTCCACACGCCCGAAGAAGTGGACGTGGCCCACAAAAGCTCACATTAAAATGTCATAGTCTTTAAGGGCCCATATCTCCATATCTTTTTGTCTCCTTTTTTTCCTTACGTTTTTCCCCCCTCTTCTTTTGGATTGTGCCCAACATGCTCCCTGCAGAATCACAGTTTTGGAAGATCCCTCTTCCAAAACGACAACGATGAGAAGCAGAAAAAGCCTGTCTCCCAACCCCACCGCACAAAAAACGGGGCTGAGAAGAAAACACCGCTCTGTACTGTGATTTTCTTCTTCCAACAGGAAGGGGGGGATGGAGATAGATAGATAGATAGATAGATAGATAGATAGATAGATAGATAGATAGATAGATAGATAGATAGATAGATAGATAGATAGATAGATTAGAGGGGGGAGGGAAGGGAAGAGAGAGGGAGGGATAGATAGATAGGTAGAGATTAAACTCTAATTTAATTATAGATAGAGCTTAATTAGATAGTTTAATTAGATGGATATCCTCTGTGTGTGGATTCCTCCCTGCAGCCCCCTAGACCCCAGAGTCAGGGAAGGGGTGTAAAGGCCTCTCCCTCATAGTTCCCAATTTCTTTTGCCCCCCCCCCTCCAATATCAACACCAGCCTGGGATGGGTGGGGAAGCTCTCTCTCTCTGCCCCTCCACCCACTTCGGCCTCTTCCCCCCCCCCGCCTCCGCGGGGC